CAATGTCTCAAAGGAAATATATTCATAATCTTGAAAAAAATGTTCTTAATTGCAATCTAGTTGATAGTCCTATGGAGACTCAAGCCATTTCTATTAAAGAAGAGCTACCTGATGATCTATCTCTCGGTTGTTAGTTAGCACATGCAAAATCCAAATCAGAAGTATTTGGATGTTGTTTTGCAAAATCTCGTGTAGCATTATCTAATGTTTATTATGTTGGCAATGTTGAAGGTTGACAGTCTGCCTAAGGATATTATATTTTTTTGTTGGATGTGCCCAGGCACCAGGAAAGTATGAAACAAATTGTTATGTTCAAGTTCAACGTAAAGATTGAATATAGAGTTATGGACCACTCAATGTGTGACATGATTAGAGTAAAAACTCTTTCAAAAAAATTTGATTTTCACATTACTTTTCCCATACACTATATTGTGATAAATGTATCGTCATTTATAATGCCAACAATCCTGTTTTCTATAAATGAACCAAAGATTTTAAAATTGATTTCCATTTCAAAGAATGTCGACATCATGCTTTTGAAGAAGATAATTAATCATATTTTTACTTTAAAATGTATGATTGGCCTCTTTATCAAAGCTTAGGAGCTTATATATATATATACACATTAAAAGGTAATATTAAGAAATTTAATATTTGAAAAATACATTACTAAGGTGATATACGTTTACATCCCCATAATTATGAAAATTCTCCTCCTTATTTGTTTTCTTCAGCATTTCATCTTGTATAACTATTTAAATGTTCATTTATTTAAGCAATAAGGGACAAGAAAATCATTTCTCCTCAACAAACTTGTTATATTTTTCATTTCAAAACAGCCAAATGGGCCCCATTTGCAGTTTCTACAGGTCAAAAGCATATTATATTTTTCATTTCAAAAGAGCCAAGCCAATTTGCAGTCTCCAGAGGTGATACTACTCCACCAGTGTTACTCTGTCAGAATTCTCATCCACCAGGGAACACTCCTATAGCCCTCCTTCCCAACTCTTTTGATCAATGGCGTGCATCAAAAGTATAAGGATGATTAAGATCTGAATTACGGAATTCCAAAAGTCCACCATGTGCGTTAAAAATCACATTAGAAAAATGAGAAATTTGAGACAACCTCAAATCAAGCTCAAGGTCGTTGCTCATTTAGTAGCCTAGCCCAGCATAAGTTACAAGTCCCAAAAAAAACTAAATCAAGCTCGAGTAAAGTTTGAGCTCAGTTGTTCCTAATCTAGACAGATAAAAATTTACTATTGATTTCACTTGGCTTGATTTGACAAACTTCTAAGGGGCTGTTTGGTTGCCTGAAAAAGAAATGCAGTGTAAAGTAAATGCAATGTAAAGTAAATGTAATGTTTGGAGAAATTGGAATGGATCTCACACATCGACGCTGCATGTCGACATCTGCTGGAACCGGATAACCGGTCCACTGGCATGATTGTCGAAGGTGAGAAAAGCGGGACAATCAACGAAAATATGGTAGCGATCAGAGGTCCAGCTACCTACCTTCCACCGGAGTCGGCCGTCGATCTTGACGTAGAGGAAGAGGAATCCGTTATTCTCGTCTTGGGTGAGGGAGGTGCAGAGATAGGGGGCGATGGGGATGAAGGAGCCGGAGAGGTAAGGGAACCAGACGTCGATGTCCTTATGGCCCTGGTAGAGACTGGGGATGCTGTAGGCCGGAGTAATCTGCTGGTTCCTGTAGGCCGCGTAGACGTCGAGACGATCGTAGTAGATGCCGACGCGTTCGTTAGGGTTTCGGGAGGAGATGGTGATTTGGATGGTGGAGGAGAGGAGATTTGGGGCAGAGAGGTTGAAACCGAGAACCCGAGCGTCTTGTAGGTAGAATTGGGGTTTGGTGGGACGGAGGACAAGCCAGACGATTAGGATTGCGAGGAGGACAAGCCAGACGATTAGGATTGCGAGGAGGACAAGCCAGACGATTAGGATTGCGAGGAGGACGAGGATTATAAAGAAGATAATGCAGAAGGTGGTTCGCCGGAGCGAAGTCGAACCAGAACGAAGGAGTCGAAGAAGACTATCGTGCAATGAAGCCGAACAGCACGACGAGATCGAAGCTTTTTTTTTCCGATGAATTTATAACCCGCTCGTATCGAGCGGGTTTCAAATTCACGCAAAATAGTCCTTTTAATACACGACTAATGCATCGGATGATTTTCTTTTGCTCTCCTTAAAATTATCCAAACAACCAAATTTAATAAATACAGGTAATTGTTTTACTTTACACTCCTAATTCGGGCAACCAAACAACCCCTAAATGTATTTCGGATGTCAAGGTATCTTTCTCCTGCATCCTTGATGTTACATCATTGCATCAAGAAAGGATTCAAACGCCAACTACTAGAAGCATTTACACGTACTTTTCAACTTATTCAACACAAGCACAAGATATGTGAGCAGATTATCATGTGAATATGACTTCCCTTACATAAGGTTCATATAACCAACCCTGCAAACCTTCCACAACTTGAAATTAACATCTTCAAAAAAGTTAGCAACTTACACTTCAATTTCAATTGCTACATTATATATATATATATATAGAGAGAGAGAGAGAACTTTTTCAGCCTGCGTCAGTTAGAAACTAGATATACAGAGCAAATAGATTATTCCAAAATTTATTTAAAACTGCAACTTGGAATTTAGAACCCCTCTTGACTACCTAAATTTCACAATACTAAAGTTATATTCTTCCCTGGCAATTACATTATGTTCTTGACGAAAGAATAATCCAAGGAAATGAGCCAAAATATTACTAACAGATGGAAAGTTCCAAAAATAAAATCATAGCATGCTGTTCACTAGGCCAACGCCTCAGGAAGAAAGAAAAAACTTACCAGAAGATATTCACATGGAAATCGGACCATCTTGATCATAACTTCATGGATTCCAATTTAATAATATCACTTCGTCTTAGAATTATGTGATCCAAGCAATAATCCTTACCTAACTTTAAAGGATAACCCATGCAAGGTCATCCACTATCCTTAAGCTTTGTTTGAGATAGTAAGATTTTCTATTTTTTTCTTTTAAAAGCTTATTTCTCAGCCAAAATTTCAAAAATGTTTTTCCAAAAATAATTTTTAAAAGCAAAAGTTTGAGATAGCGATGAAAAATTTGTCTTCCAAACAAATTATTTTTTTACTAACAGCTGTTTTTACCATGAAAGCAATCTAAAAGTTGTTCCAATTTCCAAACAAAGCCTTAATCTCAATTAGCTTCCACTACTCGTTGAAAATTTCAAATCAATACTAAAAAGTACAGATTTTAAGTTATAAATTTACTTCTCATCAAAATTAAGAAATTAACAGTTCTTTAATTTCAACTTTTCATTTTGAGCAAAGTATGACTTGGCTGAAAGCCTGACAAGTACCGGCACTTCAAAGTGATTTAAGACAGCAAGATGTGGCAATGAGGCACCTAAGACACCATATAATCAAATATCATAGGATAAGAATCTAAAAGAACTTTATGTCAAATTGTCCGCTTATGTAATGCTTCATGATTACCTTGAAGAGGGGTGAAAATGGAGCATGATAGAAATGTACAAAAAAATGTTTCATCTGAGAACCTACATTCCAACTAAGCATAACAGTACTAAATCAGTAAATCATGCATTACATTCTTTCTCTAAATCCACACCTCTTTTCAGAGAAATCAAGCAAACTTCAAAAAAACTAATAAAACCCATATCAAAAGATTGAAACTTCAATGGATGATCGTGTATCTTAAAATAAGTGAACTTTATATGAAAATAATTTTTAAAAAAAAATTGGACCACTACTTTTCATACAAATTACCCGTGCCATGTATCCTTATGATTATAAAATCAACTTTTGAAACAATAATAGATAGTTTTGAGACTTGTTTGAAAAAGCGCTCTAATAAAAACAATATTATATAGTTATGGGTAAAGTTTGTGAACAACTTACTATTAATTCCATTTGCTTGGAGAATGACTAAATCAATCTCATCTTTTGCATCCATAGATGTGAGCCCAGGTGGAAAATAGGCAAAAAGTGCAAGTAAGATGAAAAACTAGTTAAATAATTTTAATGATCCCCTTTCAATGCTTTTGTATTTCAAAAGATTTAGTTTAACCATAAAGAATTATGCATTCAATATTCTTTATTTTTCGTGTATATTAGCAACTCTCATTTCCTTTCAAATGTAAACTTTCAGTCAATTTTTAGGATGCCATTTAAAAGATGCCCAACGTGAATGAGAATTCCAATTGTGAAAACTCAATTGGAGGATGCCTTAATACTCCTCCATTCTCTTTGCTTTGATTCTCACAGAATCCAAAGTTAAATTGCAGGATTATACTCTTACCCATATTATTATGGTTCCTCGATCAAGAAAAATATCACTTATCATCATCAACAACAGAAGTAATATCATCGTCATCAGCCTTATTCCAACATCATAGCTAAAAAAAATATTCAGTATTCACAACAACTGATGGAAATAAACTCAAACACTTTCACCAATCGCTAGAGCAAATCATGGTGTGAGCATAACAAGAGTGAAGTTGATCAAAACATGCTTCCAAGAAAATTTAACGAACGTTAAAATTAAAATACAAGAATAAAAAATGGCTTTTTGTGTGCATCATGGTGATAGTCCATAATCCGCAAGAGACAAAGAATCTAAAAGATAACAGTGGTGTAAGCCCAGGATATTTAAACTTGAGAAAAAATTATGACTAAAATCCAATATGAACCTAACATCAATCAGAGCACAGGCGCCAAAGCTTTTTTTCTTTAGAAAACCATTCCGCAATAACTATCCTATATACACCTATTATAATAATTCAACAAATCACAAAAAAAAACACACAAGTAGAACACTGCATTTAATAATGTAGTATGGTTCCTAAACCAAGATAATCATTACACAACAACAACAGACCAAGAATTAACAGCTTTATGAAGGGAAAAACAAAAAGCCTCAATGAAAATCATGCTAACCTGGGAAGCTCTGTAACCATCTTCATAAGCATTTTGGCCGGCAGAGTGCTGTCCGGATGGATCACTCTCCTTGTAACCCACATTACTACCATAAGGACCCCCTAAGTTAATCAAGGAAAATTTGATGAGTTAATCATTTAAATGATGGCAAGGAACATCTCATAAGAATATCAAAAAATAGAGTAATCAGTCATATGTACCAGTCTTATCTGCGTGAGAAGCATTCACCAATTCCCTCTGAAGCTTGTCCACCTCCCCAAGCATTGAAACATAATTCTTCTCCATAACTTGAAGTGACTCATAATGATCAATTCGTAATTTTCTTTCATAATCATAAGTAGCTCTGCATAAGAAGTGGTTCATTAGAAGCTAGAGCATTACATCATCACATGTAACAGCATCAAAGATATAATTGATACTAATCAAACAAATTGCTACCTGCAATGCTGATACTCTTGCCTAAGAGCATCTAATTCAGATATCAAAGAAGGAATCTGCTGTGCATCTCCATGATTTTTCTGCAGATCCTGGGTCAAATCCTGCACTTTGGAAATCAGCTCCTGTCTAGCTGCAACCAAGCTCTGAGCTTCTGCGTGCGCTTGCTGTAACTCCACCTTAAGAGGCTCCGTAGCTCTCAAGTCAGCCTCCATCTTCCCAAATTTATCAAACATCGCCATCATCTTCTGCTCATGCTCAAATTTCCCAGCAGAAATGTGCGTTTGCAACCTTTGCAGCTCATGTTGGGCCGCAGCTAATTCATGCCTCAGAGCTGAATGAGTAGCAGCTAGCCTTTGGTTCTCAGTGGCAAGAGTTTGCATCTCCATATACTGCGCAGCAAGTTTCTGTTCAATAATTTCTGGAGGAGGCATCAAGTCATGAGGCAAGGCACCAATTGCCGGACGGATACCAGGACCGTAAGGCTCTGGGTGGAACATTCCAGGGCCTGGTAGAGGCCTGCGCATATTAAGTGGCATGCGACCTTTACTTCCCATGAAAACCAGTCAAATCAGTCTGCTACCTACCATGTAAATTGACAGAAATGTTAGGAAAGATATGAGAAGCAAATATATATATAATTGAAAAGGCTCAGCAAAATCAGATTGAAAACACGGATGAAGATCTTAACTGTAACACAGCCGTTTGTTTTCCACAAGCGCAACTGAAAGAGTGAACGACCGCGAAAATCCGAGAAGAGAGCGCGCCTTCGAGTTCGACTTGTGAGGGAGGAATAGAGATTAGGGTTCGCGACTCGCAGATAACAAGCCGACTGGAGAGAGAAAGTCAGAAATTTTAGCTAACTTATAATAGGGGCTGTTTGATAGCACCAGCATTTTAATTAAATGGGATTTTCTAAATCTTCTAAATCTGAATTTATGAAATTTTGGGGATTAAAATTTGAAACTGTTTGGTAACATTTATTATAAATCAGGTTAAATTTTGTATGATTTTTTGGCTATTCAATTCAAGATTTAAAATGATTAAAGATATTTTAGATGTCTTTTTTGAATAATTAAAGTACAACAACATAAGTTCAAATAAAATACAATAATTTTTTTATTAAAATACAAAAAGAATATATATTTAAGATTAGTTTACTCATTTTAAATAATCTTCTATTTAATTAATATTATTAGTTTTTAGAATTATCTAAATTATAATTAGTATAATCTAATGTATATTTATTAATTATTAATTAGTTAATTAATTAAATATAATAGTTTTCATTAAAATAAGTTATAAATAGTATTAATTTGCATGAATTAATTTCTAATTAATTAATGAATATTAATTATTAAAATTAGTTTACTCATTTTAAATAATTATTCTAAGATTTGCTCCTTTCTTTACATATCATGCGTCTTGCTTTTTCCCATGCTTTTCTTCGTTGTTGTTCTTCTTCGACTACTTCGTCGTTGATTGACTTCGCTCCTCAAGGATGTTCCTTTCCAGTTGGATCAAAAGTTACGACATTTTGATAGGAAGCAACGACGAGAGCTCGCTCGCTGTGAAGGTAACTTTCTTCCTTTTGCACGCTTCTTCGCCCAAATCTCGTAAATCCATTGGATTTTGGAAATCCGGGATTCACCACGAAAAGGGTTGATTTTTTGTCTACAGTGTCTTTCATTTACCGTGTGATTTGGTTTTGCATTTCAGGCCTTTTGGCTGGATTTCGCTCAAATCTGGCATAAATCCTGCTACCAAATAGCCCCATAATTAGCGAGCGTGCCGTCGGCTCAAATTAGACAATTTTATTATTATTATTATTATTATTATTA